ATATTACGTGCCTAGCGAGTGCCGGTAATTGTTAAAATTTGTTTAATAATTAGTAATAGAAATTCTAATTGATTCTAATGTATACAAGTGTTACAAGAAGGCTGAGTGTGTACAGGGTGGACATAGACTAGCTAGTAGCCCCCGACCACTCTATTCACATCTCAGAACCTTCAGGTCAAAATACGCCGCGAAGTGTCTAGGGCCCAGTATAAAGGGTAAATGATTTCGCGGGACATCGGCGGGTCCTTATATACCTGCGGTACCCTCTCCCCAAAGTCATTAGCAAAATCGTCGGTTAGGTCAGGCGGGAAATTTTCGCGGGAGATTTTCGCGGGAGATTTCCGTTATCGTAACACGGTATACTTTATCAATTTTCACAATTTTGTTATAAATTTATACTTCCGACTATTTGTTAAAACATTGCATATAACAATTTATACGTTTTTACCATATTCTTCAATGGAAAGGGTCAACCTGATTTTTAATCCTCCGAACTTGATTTCACAACGAGAAAGTAATAAGATCGTTGAAACGTACTTATTTGTCAAAGAAACTTGCAAAAATGTATAAATAATAATATGTAATGTTTTAACAAATTTTTGGAGTAATAAATTAATAATAAAATTGTGAAAATTAATAATTATACCGTGTTACAACATCATAATACAAGAACAGAAATTTCCCGCGAAAAGTAATCGGTTTCCCGCGAAAAATTGGTAGAATCAATTAGAATTTCTATTACTAATTATTAAACAAATTTTAACAATTACCGGCACTCGCTAGGCACGTAATATCAGACTTTAAATACTCGACTTCGAACTTCGGTTTAGTCATAATTCTATTAATGTTATAATAACGTATAATTTATTAATTTTCACAATTTTATTATTAATTTATACTTCCAAAAATTTGTTAAAACATTACATATTATTATTTATACATTTTTGCAAGTTTCTTTGACAAATAAGTACGTTTCAACGATCTTATTACTTTCTCGTTGTGAAATCAAGTTCGGAGGATTAAAAATCAGGTTGACCCTTGGTCGTAAATTTAAAATAGCCATAGTGAAGGTGAAATTATTATTTTAAATAAATGTTTCTATACGAATTAAGAATCTATTCAACGTTTGTTTGTTGCAATACCGTGAAATAAATTGTATTATATATTTTCTCAGTTTAGACTGAATTTAAAGTTCGTAAGGATTAGAAATCAGGTTGACCTGTGGTCGTAGATTAAAAATAGCCATAGTGAAGGTAAAATTATTACGTTAAATAATTGTTTTTATACGAATTAAATATTGATTCAACGTTTATTTGTTGCAATACCGTGAAATAAATTGTATTATATATTTTTTCTGTTTACACTAAATTTAAAGTTCTGTTTACATGTTATAACAATTAGAATGTAGACGTTTTGCCGTTTCACGGTTTTTCCTCTGTTAATTATGTGTTTATAAATCATTTCAAACTAAAGCAGCACCATGCCCACCCTTAATTAAACCGTCTCAGTAGTTTACCGTAATTAATAATCTATTTTCGGAATTTATACGAGAATTTTTGAATTTTAGTAAATACTAGAGTCAGTGCATCGCGTATTGAAATAATAGCTTATACAGATAATCTTTTGAAATTACTCTTAATTAGGGAAAATCTTGAATCTTGTATGGAAGATGAAGATTTTCAGGAAATATTTATTTTTCAACAATGAATTTTTGTTTTATCGATTAATAACGTACGAAATGATTTTTGGAAAATTTTCTTCGTTTGAACGTTCGTTTAAGGTTCGACTATGATTATCAAATCTCTCGAAACACCGTAGAATGTTCAATTTTAAAAGTAACTTCTTCAATTTTTGGATAATCTGGGTAACGTGTTAGTGTTGACGATACACTTTCGAGTATAGACGTTAAAGTTCATAGAGTGGTCGGGGGCTACTAGCTAGCCTATGTCCACCCTGTACACACTCAGCCTTCTTGTAACACTTGTATACATTAGAATCAATTAGAATTTCAATACAATAGACTGAATAACAATTCATTTTAACTAATACCTATTAGAAATTTTCCTTTTAAAACAAATATAAATCATTTTACCAATTACTGGTACTTGCTAGACATTTAATATCAGACTTTAAATATTCTCCTTTCGGTTCTTTTAAATACAATCAAATAATTTCTTCAATTGTCGATACTGACTTGGAATACTCCGCTTCGAATAAAATATTTCGAAATTATTTTGAAGGTTTAGGGAAATAAACATTTGAATTTTAGTCATCGTTGTTCTTCAGACTTGTCGAATAGGATATTGAAATTGAGAGGTTAAGAGTTTGCTTTTTCGTTACAGCATAACAATCAATATGTACTTTTCTTCCAGCAATTGAAATTAATTTTAAATTTTTCATATATTTTCTCTGATATTGAATTTTGTTTAGTAATAATTTACCATCCAAGGAATTTGCATGAATTGCGTGTTAAGTAGTTAGTTGATTTATTATTGTATATTGTGAGCTGATTTGGAACGAGTGCACTATGCCCACCCTAAATTAAACCGTCTCAGTAGTTTACCGTAATTAATAATCTATTTTCGGAATTTATACGAGAATTTTTGAATTTTAGTAAATACTAGAGTCAGTGCAGCGCATATTGAAATAACAGCTTCATCCCTAGTTCGTTTATTATTGAATATGTTTACGCGTTTAACTTATGCTTCTCGCCAATTCTCGTCGCGTATTTTATTCAAATTTGCTTATATTCTAGAATTGAGAAAGATATGAATTCGCGTTTTTTTCTTTTGATTCTTTCAATTTTTCAATTGCATTACACATTATTGCAATAATTTCTATCGTTACATTTAATTCTAATTGTTTAGCAGCTTTTCTGCTGCTATCGACCCTACATTTTACTGACACTTGTCGAACCGACCCTACATTTTACTGACACTTGTCGAACCGACCCTACATTTTACTGACACTTGTCGAATCGACCCTACATTTTACTGACACTTGTCGAATCGACCCTACATTTTACTGACACTTGTCGAATCGACCCTACATTTTACTGACAGTTGTGGAATCGACCCTACATTTTTTTTTTTTTAC